AGAAGCAAAGAACAAAACAAAAAAACAACAAAAAAAAGAAAAGAAGAAGACAGCAAAAGAGAAAGAAAAGCAAAAAAAAAAAAACAAAAGGAGAAAAAACAAAACGGTGTGATAAATCGAGCTCGGTACCCCACACGGTCGGACTCGGACATGGAGGACTTCTCGGCGTCGGTGAAGCCCTCGGGCGAGACGACAGAGGTGCCGAAGGCTCCGTGAAAGCCCAATGGCCACGTCGTCAGCTCGCCGTGCTGGCTATTTGCCGGGTCGCGCCAAAAGGCCTGCTCCGCCGAGAAGTCGGGCGATTCCCCGTTGAAGTTGAGCGAGACGATGTGGAGGTACGCGTCGTCACGAAGAGCAACGCCGCAGTCGCGGCCACGCTCCTGAAGCATCGAGAGAAGTTCTGTTCGAGCAAAGTACGGCCGGCCGCCCGAGTCTTGCAGCACCGGCATATTCGACCGAAAGAGCGTTGCGTCGGGCGAGAAGGCGGCGTCGACGCAACGCACGTGCTTGATGTTGAGCTCCGACATGGCGGCGATCGCGGAGGCGTCCATTGTTGTGGCAGCGGCGGGCAGCGGCGGATAGGGACCGTCGGCCGGACAGGGTCCCAGCGGATAGCGGCGCTCCGTCGGCGAATGCGGTGATTGTTCCTTTTTTTCTCTTTTTTTTGCCTGGCTCGCTTTGGCATGGTGCTGCAGTGGGCACTCACATGCGCAGAAGACAAGACAGGTGTGTGTGATGGCGTCCTGGTGCTGCCGCCTGGAGAGCTACACCTTGTCCCCCTTAATTTCGTCAGTGTCGCACGCACGCTCTGTTGTTTCTTCCTTTTCACAAAAAAGGTTACCCAGCCCACGCTTTTCCCGAATTCAGTTCTTATTTGTTGAATTTCGGCGTTCCCCGCGGTCCGCCGAGGCTTTTGAGTCTTGCTCCATCCGTGGCGCCAGGCCACCGTGCGTTCGCCATGATGTGGTTAGTCGCGACGGCGGCGCAGGCCAGGCGCCGACTTCCCGAGGAAGCCCATGGACGCACGGTCAAGTTCCCCGTCGGCACACGCGGCGAGACGCTTTACAAGCGGCCGCCGTTCGAGAGGCATCGCAATCTGCAGGATGTTGCTTCTGACTACACCTTTTGGTTTTGCGGTCTCAACACAGAGGATTACTCTGTCTGCGCAGGCCAAGTGCACGTGCAGCCTGGAGAGACGGAGAGCGAGGCCAAAATCATGTGGACGGGTCCGATGAGCCAAAACAAGGTTCACGTTCGGTGTGGCGACGAGGCGTGCTCAGCTGCGTGAGATGGACTGTTGTTCATAGAACTCCCCCTCCCCCCCCACCACGGCTTCATTGCCCAAGGCACCCCCTGCATCCGTTGTACAGACGGACGCGACAGAGTACACGGCGACGAGCTTCACCTACTCGATGGCGATGGCTCCAGAGATGGAGATCCTCACCGGAGCCAGCAGCTACGGTACGCCAGCGCGCACAGCGCCTTCCCGCGCGTCCCGCCGACCCTAGCGCCACCGCCCCTCCCAACTGCAGGCATGGGCAAGCCGACCCTCTTCCCCGGGGAACCAGAGGAGGGCGAGGCGTGGCTCTTCGACCTGCAGACCACCCAGACCGAAGACATGGACGGGTGGCCAAACAAGATGCCGTGGGCGCCGTTCAACCGCGCCGACCCCGCCAATTTGCCGGACGATGACGACGAGGACGGCCTCCCAGATCGCGCGCCTCACCACTGGGACAGGCCCTTTTACTACAAGCTCACCGAGACGGTTGGAAGTATCACCGGCTCTTACTATCAGTCGCCGATGATCTTCTCAGCGACGGTGGCGGCGCCCCCGAACGGCAAGCTCTCTCCCCCTCTCTCCGAGCCTCTCTTTCCCGTCACTCTCTTCTCGAAAGCGCACACCCCTCCCGTTTGCAGCAAAGTGCAAGTACGCCATCCTCGACCCCCCCGCTCGCCGTCGTCTCCAAGACCCGTCGATCGTCACGGACTCGCGCTCGTGCCGGGCTCGGTGTTGCCGAGGCCGACGAAAGCGCCTCGCTGGCCGACGTCCTCCGGGTTGGAGGAGAGCGAGTCCTTGAACTTGACGTCGCCGATGAGGCGCGAGCGCGAGCGGCCGGCGCCCGCCACCGAGACGTCGGGCCGGTAGTCGTTAGAGTAGCCGAGGTGGTCCCGCGGCTCCACCTCGACGAGCATGCCCCACACGCTCCGCATGACCTTGGCCAGGGCGGCCAGGAGGCTGTTGTGGCGGCCGCAGTGCCCGAGGCGGCCGATGTTGCTGGCCGCGTCGCCCAACGGGTCCTGCACCTTGCCGCCGCGCGCCGAGCAGGTCGGCGCGCCCCGCGCGAGCGCCTCGTCAAGTGGTAGCCCGAGGCGCCGCTGGACGGCGATGCGCAGCGCCCACGTCGGGACCTTCCTGTTCAAGTGTCTTTGGTTTTTCGCAAAAAGAAAAATCGGCCGGCTCGCCGCCGGCATTCGTCGGGTTGAGCACTGTTGCTCTGGGAAAGCTCGCGCGCCAGCGCGCACCACCCTCTGCCACCCTACTGCCTCGACTGAGGCAGCATGCTCAAGGCGGCCGTGCTCCTCGCATTCATCGGCAGCGCGTCTGCCTTTGCCTCCGCGCCCGAGCACCCTCCCCACGGCCCGTTGAAGATCACCCTCTCGAGCGGCGACGTTGTCCGAGGCCACAACCAGGATTCCGCGTTCGTTCGGTCTTTCCGTGGCATCAAATTCGGCAATGCCTCACGCTGGATGCCACCCGAGCCGGCATTTCATCAGTACATGAGCATGGATGGGATTCCGATCAACGGCCCCGCCTGCCCCTGGATCACGAACATGAACAACGAGTCGTTTGACTACCCATTCAACAAGACAAACATCGCGCTCGCATTCGATTATGCCACATCCGAGGACTGCCTGAACTTGAACGTGTTTACGCCAGTGAGCGAGCCGACCGAGCCGCTGCCCGTGGTCATCTGGCTCCACGGTGGCTCCAACGGTGTGACCGGCTGCCCCGGCTGCCCTCAATAATACAGCGCCCCCTCGCACTCTCCCCCACGCCCCACCCCCACCCACCCCCACCCTCAGTCGCTGGGAGCGCGACGTCCCACGGCCCCGTCGAGTGGCTCGTCAACGGCATGGAGAACAGCGTGATTGTGGTCTCCATCAACTCCCGGCTTGCCGCGCTCGGCTTCTTGGCGCTGGAGGTGCTCGCGACCGAGGACCCGCGCAACGTCTCTGGCAACTACGCCATCCTCGACCAGCAGCTCGCGATGCGCTGGGTCAAGCGCGAGATCGAGCACTTCGGCGGCGACCCCAATCGCGTGTTTCTCCTTGGGCAGGCGCAGCAGCGCCGCTTAGTATAGCACTGTGCTGCGCAAGCAAGCGGGAAGCAAGCAGCAGCCGTACACCGCAGAAGCAAGCAAGCGGGAAGGAAGCAGCAGCCGTACACCGCAGAAGCAAGCAAGCGGGAAGGAAGCAGCAGCCGTACACCGCAGAAGCAAGCAAGCGGGAAGGAAGCAGCAGCCGTACACCGCAGAAGCAAGCAAGCGGGAAGGAAGCAGCAGCCGTACACCGCAGAAGCAAGCAAGCGGGAAGGAAGCAGCAGCCGTACACCGCAGAAGCAAGCAAGCGGGAAGGAAGCAGCAGCCGTACACCGCAGAAGCAAGCAAGCGGGAAGGAAGCAGCAGCCGTACACCGCAGAAGCGCAGCAGGCAGGCAGCGCCCCCGAAACCCACCGGAGATCCCCGTAACGATCCCACCCCCGCGCTGTGTAGTCTTCCGGCGGCACTAACATCATGGCCCACCTGATCGCGCCCGAGTCCGTGCCGCTCTTCGCCGGGGCCATCTCGCTCTCGGGATCACCCAACATCACGATGAACAAAGCGGACAAGTACGAGCAGGACCGCAAGTACTGGCTGGACAACACCCCTTGCAAGGACACCGAGCCTGCGGCCGAGCAGCTGGCGTGCATGCGCAAACTCTCCGTCGCGGAGGTCATGCAAGCCATGGACACGACCTGCAAGACCGACATCGAGCCGAACGACAAGAACCCCTTCCCCAGCGAGATCGCCTGCACGGGCGACGGAGGGCGGTACAACTTGTGGAATCAGGACTCGCAGGTGCCCGTCTGCCCACCCATTTGGACCGGGCCTTGCACTCGGACTGCCGTGTGGGGCTCCTGCCTGATTTTGTGTGTGGAGAAGTTTGCCCTATACCTCACCTTACCTTAGGTGCCCGTCGACCCCTCGCTCGGCCAGATGGGCTTTGGCCTCCCATTCATCGACGGCCACACGCTCGACGGCGGCTCCAACAGCTCCATCCTCACGGGGCTGAAGAAGACGTTCTCCAACGCTTCCGCGCCCGCGGTCATTTTCCAGACCTTGTCGGCGGAGCACAACTGGCCGCCGTCTAACGCGTTCACCAAGGCCAGCTACGAGGACAATGGCGCGCGTGGCTTGCTGGACAAACAGCTGGGCGTGTGCATGAGAGACGGAGACGACCTCAAGCGCCCGTGCTGCCAGAGTTGCACCGGGTCACCCGGCAACGCCGTCGACAACCAGTTTGGCACGGAGTCGGTTCTCCTCTCCGACTTCTTGGACACGGTCTTCAACCTTACCGAGAATGACACCGAGAACAGAGCCGACGACCCGCACTGGAAGCTATATCCGGCCTACGCCCTGACGGCCGACGCCGGTTCCACACCGCGAGGCTGAAGCTGTCGCGTCCAGGACACGTCCAGGACATGCCCCAGGACATGTCCCGTAGGCGCGACTTGCGGCAACGTTGAGCTTGCGCTTGCAGCTGCGAGTGGCGGGAATGTGGGCAAGATCTTCGTGAGCACCGTCGTCACGCCCCCTTCGAACCCCGTCTTCGCCGGCTCGTGCTTCATCCGCTCGACCATGCCGTTCCATTCTTGGGATTTTCTCGCCGCTCTGCAGGCGAGCAACCCGGACGGGGCGGATAAGCCTTGGCGCGCGGGCAAGATGGTCAAGTCGGGCGAGAATTTCTTCAAGGCCAGCACCCCGCCCCCCCTCCCCCTCGCCCTCGCACCTCGTTCTCACCTTTCACCCTCACCCCTTGCCATCAAAGGACAACCCACACGGGTATGCCGTCAGCTGTGGAGAGGAGGATGACGAGACCCCCGCGAAGCAGCCCTACCAGCCTTCTACTCGCGACGTCGAGTTTGGAAAGCAGGTGCTGGGCCAGTGGCTGGCCTTCATCAAGACGGGGAAGCCCGGATGGGATGCCGTCGGCTCGAGCGACTGGTCGGACTACCAGCACGGCAAGATCACCGACAAGCCCGCCATGACGGTGCCGAGCTACAAGCAGCCGGCGTGCGACAACCTCAAGAAGGCTGGGGTGGACATCAACTGGTGGTGGGTCAACTGAGAGGCTTGGCCGGCCGCTCACCGCACCCCCGGCGCCACAGCTGAGCGCGACCAACCTAGCGCGCTCCCTCGCCACACGCGCGCGCGCGGACGCATGGAGATCCGCGCGCGTGCCACACATGCATACTCTCCATGCCGCGAGCCCGCGCCTGCGCCGCTCGTCTCGTGCGATGGCACGTCGCCTGCTAGGTCGCCCGTGCCCCGGAGCTACGCCGCCGCGGCCCCGGCCGCATCTCCACCGTCCACGCGTCGTAAGTCGTATCCACATGGTTCATGCCCAAAAGGTGTTCGAAAAAGTGCGCGCGGGCACCTCCCTCACAACCAAGGAAGGCTCGACCCGAGAGGGAGCACGCCCCGCCCGCCGCCTCCGCCCCTCACTCCCCTCAGTCGGACCACTGGTAACTATGTTCGACTCTAGTCGTTGTGTTGTGTCCGCGACGCCGGGTTCTGGACCTACATCTCCATGCCCATGGCGGTCCCACACCGGCCTCAGTCAGACCACATGTAGTCTTGGATGCCCTGGTCGTCGAGAAGCTCCTCTATCATCTCCTCCTCCTCCTGCGCAATCGTCGCCTCCAGCGCCGCCTTGCCCGACGCCTCGCCCGCACCTGCGCCGTCGCGGCGGCGGTCGCGCGCGCCGCCCGCGCCGCCCGCGCCGCCGACCACGCCACTCCGCCCGTCCCCACCAGCCGCCTCGGCAGCAGCTGCGCCGCCGCTCGCGGAAAGCGGGGCCGGGGAGGCGGCAGCAGAGGCGGAGGGCGGCCTGGCGGCGGCGGCGGTCGATGGCGGTGCGGCGGCGGCCGCCACCATCCCTGCCGCCGCCACGCCCGCAACTGCGGCACGGGGCGCTGCTGCGGCGGCGGTGCTGCCGCCGCCGGCAGCGGCGCCTCCGAGGACGGCCTTGACGATCGCGCAGCCGCGCCCCTCGCGCCGCACGCTGACGCCGTCTGGCGGGAACCCGGCGGCGATCAGCAGCTGCCGCAACTCCTCCTCCTATAGTAACTAATGAATTCATCAATGACTTGCTCCATGAATTGTTGCGCTGCCGCAACTCCATTCCTACGCGGGGAATGCGCCAGCCTCGGGGCGGGGAGTGCGGTGCTTTGCAGAGTCTTCAGAGCAGCGTGAGAGGACGAGCGACACAAGACACAGCGAGCACGGTCGATTGCGGCTGAGTACGTGTCCTCTCGAGCGCTGGTTGGGAGACAAGAGCGAATCTTCTGCTTCTAGGGCTCATTCCGACTCGAAGAAGCGGAAGCTGCCGCCGCCGCCTCCACTCTGGCCGGGGGTTGCGCTCGTCGTGCCGGGGTACGCGCCGCGCAGGAAAGTGGTGGCGAAGAACCGGCCGCCGTCGGGCCGGAGCACCTTGAGGAAGGGGGGGGGGGGGGGGGGGGGCGAGGTGCGAGGGGTGAGGGTGAAAGGGGCGAAGGGCGAGGCACCCGGCGGATCTCCGACAGCCCCTTCTCCAGGTTGGGCCACGAGTGAAGCGCCGCGCCTAATCTCGAGCAACCTCGGGTGTTCTCTCGGGTGATCTCGAGCTTGGCCCCCGGGTGAAGCGCCGCGCCGGCGTGCATAGCGTCGACGGCTCCGTCTCGCATCGGCAGTTGCGCGACGTCACAGCGGAGCAGCTCGAGCGCGGCGGGGGCGAGTCCCTGCGCGGAAGGGAAAAAAGGAGCTAACGAATGGTAATTAAGGCGAATGAAGGCGATCCCCTGCTCGACAGGTGGCTGATTAAGTAGCCGATTCATGGAGGGTAGCTGATCAAGTAGCTGATTCATGCTACCTAAGGGCGACCCCCTGCTCGGAAGGAGGTGCCAGTCGAGCAGTCAGTCAGTGCTACACACGCCCGCTGGCAATGACGACGGGGGGCACACGTTCTTCGTTTTGGGCGGCGGCACGATGAGCGCGGGACGCTACACACACACACACACACACACACGGGGGGGGGGGGGGGGGGCATTGCCCCCGGGGGGGGGGGGGGCGATCTCAAGGACACCGGGACAGGGCAAAAGCCCGAGGCATGCGGTGGGCAGGCGCCTGCTCGAGGGCGCGGCGTCTCGTCTCCTTGAGCATCACCTGAGGAATGAATGCAGTCCGTCCGTCATTGATGAGCATGACTTCCGCCGCCTCGTCTCCTCGAGCCGCGCCTCCGAGTAGTCGCACGCCAACGTCCTGCGGCAGGCCCGGCGGAGGGAAGGGGAGGCGAGGTCGGGTCGACTTCTCCGCACACACGAGGTGGTGGGGGCAAGGGCGAGGCTACTCCCTCGCGACTCCACGTCTACGCAGTGGCCGGCGGCGGCGGCAAGCGGTGGCGGCGAGGGCAGGCGGTGGCGGCGAGGGCAGGCGGTGGCGGCGAGGGCTGGCGGCGGCTAGAGGCCGTCACCGCATTCGCCTTCCTGGGACCAAGCGCTGCCCTCTGACGGCCGTCGCTGCCTCTCCCATCTCGACTGTCTGTGCGTGCGCGGTCTTGGGTCGTGTCTTTGCGTGAGTTTCGCCTGCCGCTGCCACCGATCCGACCAGCCAGCAGCCGGCGGTACCTGCGGGGGTGGAGGCGCAGAGGTCAGGAATGCGGCACTGTGGCAGAGCACTCGGGAGCACCGCGTGAGGCGGCGACCACGGTGTGTACACGGCGGAGCGCCGTCGAAGACGTGAAACCCTCGACCGCTACTTGGGATACGAGACTGCGTCTTCTCTTCCGCTTCTGGGGCAGAGGCTACATCAGCCCCGATCCGCATGACATGTCAACGACGACGCCGCGTCCTTGCGCGGCGACGGGCTCGAAGAAGGCGCTCACCTCGTCGTACTCCTTCTCGATGCCCGGGAAGCCCGCCGCCCGAAACTGCTGCCGCCACCCGCGCTCGTACAGGAAGCCGAGCACCGGAGTGCGGAACATCTGCGTCTGCGTCCGCGTCGCAAACGCCTCGCGAACCTCCTCCGCCAGTCGGCCCGGCGTGATGCCGTCGCCGTCGCCGCGCCCCGAGCTCGCGAGCAGGTCGACGTACTCGCCGTCCGCGACCGGGTACCGCACGCCGCCGGCACTGACCCGCGCCTCTCGCCTCGTCCGGCCGTAGATGGCGCGCTCGGGGAAGAGGGCCGAGCCGTCGCGCGGGCAGGCGAGGACCGGGTCTGCGTCGGCGCCGAACAGGCCTGCGAGGCGTTGTTTCGCCGCCGGCCGCGCCAGGCCGAGCAGCAGGCCGGCAGAGAGGAGGAGGTGCATCGCCGAGAAACGAACGACTCGGAGGTTTCCTCTTGCGGATAGCCCCATGTGTCCTTTTAAAAAGATTTTTGTCCTAACTAAAAGGACAGGTTCATGAAGGGCGCCACGCGCGCCCCCGCTCGCCGGCCCAGTCGTACCTCCCGCACTCCACTTGCCCTTCGCGACTTCCCCGTGCCCGGTGGTGCCGGGGGACGACAGTCGTGGCCTTGTTTTGGACGTTACGTGCCGCCGAAACTTGATCACCGATCACCGTCTGAATAAGTAACTCCTAGAAAACTCTCCAAAGGCCGGTGATCGGTGATCAGTGACCAGCCGGTGATCATGCAGCTAGTGGGTGGTGCCCCGGCCGACGTGAGCGTCATCAACCCGCCCGCAACTACCACCTGACGTACGCCGCACTCGGCCGCGGCGAGCTCTCGAATGAAGACGTGCTGAGCCAGCTCACCGCCAAGCGAGCGCATCAAATGCCGCTCGCTACAACAATGGCACCCTCCCGCAGTACATGCCACGCATCTTCACCACCAACAGCCAGCTGACAGAGGAGGACCACATCCTTCCCCGAAGGCGCAACGCCAAGCAGCAGCAGTTGATCGCCGCTACCGCAAGATTGGTCCGCTGACAGAGCCGCTGCAGCGACTGGGACGCACGCTCAAAACCGGGCGGGCTCATAGTGAAGAAGACGGTGAAGGGAGTGCTTGGGCGCGTGTCCAAAGGTGCCAAGCGGCCTGCAGCGCCCTCCTCCCAGGCTGCAGCCCCCCCCCCTACGCAAGCGGCAGGTGATTGTAGACAGTGATGAGGACTAGCGGGCGTAAAGGACAAGCGGTTGCGGGTACGTCTCCGGGTCGGTTTTGAATGTGTTGCTTGGGCTGGGTCGTGACCCCGCCGCCTGGAGGCTGTCAGGTGGACATGGTAGCATACCTCAATGCCCAGGAGAGGCTTGCAGAGAGCTCAATGGGAGCGAAAACGCGAGATCAAGGTGTCCTTTTGTAAAAAGGACAAGTCCTTTAAAAGTCATCGGCCTATCCGCTTGGGGTGGCACCGGTGGGTTATGGTTTTCCACAGTTGTCTGCTCCCTTCTTCGCGCGCGTCTTCGAGGCACAGCTTTCGTCGTTGCGAGGTGTCTTTCAAGAAAAAATAAAGCAGTAAACGCAGCAGCTGGCTCTTTTGGGGTTTACGTTTTATTTTTCTTTCTCTATCTTCGAGATTTTTAGCAACACCAAACGCCTCCCCAGTCACTCGGGGACATGTGTGCCGTACACACACGCACACTGAAAAAAATGTCCCGATAAAAAGGGCCGTAAGTGTTTAAAACTATGAGGTATCCTCCTGGCTCCTGCCCACCGCCGCTGCCGACTATAGCATCGCTGCGTGTGGCTCCCCGCCGCACCGGCCGCGCATTCATGAACCTCGCTCTACCAGCCGCTCGGCCGCTCGCTCGACTCTCGACCCCCCCCCCACCCCCCCTCCACCCTGCCCCACCCCCCCTTGCCCCCTACGCTCCCCACACGCACCCGCGCCTGCAGCGCCTCTCCATTACGACGCCGAGGCGGAGAGAGGCAGACGGCGCGCGAAGACGAGGAGCGTCGCCCGGCGCCCTTGCCGAGCGCGTCACCGCGCAACCACCAGCGACCGCCAACAACCAAACCGACCAGCAGCGGCAGCGGCGGCGGCGGCAGCGGCGGCGGCGGCATCGGCGGCGCCGGAGATGTCGGCAGGCAAGCCAGAGGCGACCGGTGGTGGCGTGGCGACGGATACGGCGGCGGCGCCTCCCACCAGCGATAGCACTGCGCCTATATGAGGACGAGCGAGCGGTATTGAACGCCCAGGGGTACCGATATGCCGTCACACAAATACTCGTAGTCCGTCACACGAATGCTCAGCTGCTAGCATGGGGAGATATGGGGAGATATGAGCTCGGCGCTCCACATCTAGCGAGCCGAGATGCGGGGAGATGCGGGGAGCTATGGGGAGATGTGAGGAGCTATGGGGAGATACGCGGAGAGATGGGAAGATGTGGGGAGAGATGGGGAGATCTCACCAACAGCGTAAGACACCGCGGCGCCTCACCAGCGCCGCCCGCCGCCGCCGCCGCCGCCCTTCCCGAAGCGGTTGGCGTCCGGCCTATTAGAAAGAAAGAAATATGGCTGGGAAAACGAAAAAAAACTGCTTCGAAGCGGTTGGCGGCCCGGCCTGTTTAGAAAGAAGAAATAGGCGTGCAAAAAGAAAAAACGCGAACTTCGAAGCGGTGTGGCGGTCGGGCCTCGTGGCGATCGTGACGGTGAGGCTCGAGGTCGGGTAGGCGCCTGCGGCCGGGGGGTCCGAGAATGTGGCGGGGGAGGGTGGGCTGGGGTTGGGTACCCCTCTCTCTCTCTCTCTCTCTCTCTCTCTCTGTGTCTGTGTGTGCGTGTGTGTGTGTGTGAGTGTGTGTGTGTGTGTGTGTGTGCGTGCGTGTGTGTGTGTGTGCGTGTGTGTGTGTGTGCGTGTGTGTGTGTGTGTGCGTGTGGGGGGGGGGGGGGGTGGGGGTGGGGGCGGGTTTGAGGGGGTTGTGGGTAGAGGGGTAGGTCGGGTTTGAGGAGGTTGTGGGGAGGCATGTTGTGCAGAGGCGGGTTCCGCGCCGGGAGGGCCGAAGGGCTTGCCGCTGAACCTACAACCCAAACCAAGTAATGCATGAATATGCACCTCTCATGACGGGCCGAAAGGCGTGCCGCCGAACCTAATTAGATCAGCAAGGAATGCGTAACGTATGAATTGATCACAGTCGTGGCCAAAGGGCTTGCCGCCGGACCAGTCGATGGCCGCGCGCGCCGTCGACGGCTCCTCATACGAGATTGTGCCTGCGGGTTCGGGTACCGTGGGGGTAGGGGAGGGTCGGTTCGGGTACCGTGGGGGCAGGGGAGGGTGGCGACGAGATGGTGCCGTCCCCCTTTGGCTGCCCCGTCCGCTTGTCCTTGTACAGGTGAATCGTCGGCTCGCCTGGTGGGCCCATGAACAATTGGGTTGGTGATTAATAACTGATGATTAACAACTGATGAGTAGTCATGATTGGCCGAGGTTGACGCCGTGTGGGGTGAACGCCGGAGCAGCTACACACGCCATTGCTGTGTGAGCCAGAGACAGACTACTGGCCATGCACGTGCTGAATACACCAACATCGTCAGAGCACCGCGGGAATACGGCGGCGGCTACAGGGAATACAACCGCACACGGCCGAATACAGCCGAATACGGCTGAACACGGCCGAATACGGCCGAATAGTGTCCTCTCGAGCGCTGGTTGGAGTACAAGAATACGAATTCAGCTTCTAGGATGGCCGTGCACCTACGAAGAAGCAAAGAGCGCGTGGTTCCCCCGAGTCGACCGCCCCTCCTCCGGCCCGGCTGGCCGTCGGCTCGCCCTGGTTGTGCGACTTTTTCGACTTTTTGATGGGCCCGATGCCGCCGAAGAACTCTGCTATCTCGTGTATGCGGGCCGAAGCAGGCAAGCCTTGCACGTAGATCGTGTTCTCCCACGAGAGGGACCCGTCCTCGAGCGTCTTGTCGCCTAGGGTTCGGGTACCGTGGGGGTAGGGGATGGGTCCCACGAGAGGGACCCGTCCTCGAGCGTCTTGTCGCCTAGGGTTCGGGTAGCGTGGGGGTAGGGGATGGGTCCCACGAGAGGGACCCGTCCTCGAGCGTCTTGTCGCCGCGGCTCGCGCCGCCGGCGCCGTCGTATTTGCCCGAGCGGCCGTCGAGCGTCGACCAGATGCGCCTAGGGTTCGGGTACCGTGGGGGTGGGGGATGGGTAGGGTCACCGTGGGGGTAGGGGAGGCCCGCCCGCGGTCGTCCAGCGTCACGCCAATCGCCTAATTACCCGTTGTTGTTCATCCATTAATTATTAATTTCGCCCGCGGTCGCCGCCCAGCGCCACGCCAATCGCCTCCAGCTGCACACGCAGCGCGTCCGCGGCGCCAAAGTCCTGCATGTTCTTGGCGTTGTTCCGCCTCTCGATGAGCACGATGATCTCGTCCGTCGTCGCCGCCGCAGGGCCGAGGCCGGAGCCGTGCCTAACGGTGTCGGCGAGAAGACGGTATGATGCGGCGACTTCAGAAGGGGTGCGAATGCAGTGAGATGCGGCGGGATACGGCCGAGTACTGTGGAGTGCGTGTCCGCTCGAGTGCCAGTTTGGGAGACATGAGTCCGTCTTCAGCCTCTAGGGCCCCATGCCCGATCGGCACTGGCGGCGGCGGGCCACTCGGACCACACGCGGGCTCGAGGCCTCCGTACGCGCCGCCTCCCTCGCTCACGAAGCCGCCGCCGCGCCCTCCGCCGCCATAGCTGCCGCCGCGGTCGGGAGGCGGGCCGCTGTAGCCCAGCCCGGCGCCGCGGCCGTACTGCGGCGGCCGGGACTCGCGGTACTCGTCGTGCTCATACTCGCGGCGGTCGCCGCGGTCGCCGCGGTCGCCGCGGTCGCCGCGGTCGCCGCGGTCGCGGCTCCGGTCGCGCCGATCGCGGCTGCGGGAGCGGCTGCGGCGCCGGTCGCGCCCGCGGCTGCGGCTGCGGCTGCGGTAACGGGACCTGTCGTCGTAGCGGTCGCCCATGCAGCGCTCTCTGCGGGGAGGGTGGGGGCGGTGACGGTGGAGGGGCGGCTGGTGGCGAGGGCGAGAGCGGCGGCAGACACGGCGGAGGCGGGGGTGAGGGCGGCGGCGATGAGGGCGGCGGCGGTGGGAGTCGGGCGCCTGAGAGGGAGGGGGCGAGGCGTGCTCCAGAAAAAAAGATTTTGGGACGAACCGCACAACACTGGGCACGGGACTACCCATCTCTCCCTGGAGATACTGCTCTATTTATTTATTTATGGGCACGGGACTGTGTGGTGGCGGCGTACCGTCCTCCCATCCCTCCCTTGCGGTGTCTGTTTTAGAGAGAGAATTCTTGATACGAAACCACGACGACACACACCAGTCGACTCGCATCGGTTGCCTCCATGAACGGCGGAGCTATTCTCGCGCCCACACCACACCTGGCTCCAACGTGGACACGCCCATAGCTGGGGACACTACTAGGTCACGCATGGCATCACAGAAGTTTTATCTCTGGGCCCCGAAAGGCATCTCTAGCAGTGTCGTTACACATGCCCCCTCCCCTCCTGGGCGCATGCGCCTCACGTCTCGCCAGAGCATAAGCCCTTGGCGTGTGGCGAGACGAGTTTTTCGCCATCGCAGCGAGCAGCAAGCCGCCCGCCGCAAACAGCCGGAGGCATCGCCACGGCACTGGCTGCGCCGCGGTCCCGCACCCGTCGACGCAGCTCCCCCCGCGGAAGACCGCGCGTAGCAACGTCTTGACGATCGAGATGAGCGTGCCTGAAGCTCGCCCACCTACTGCCCCTGAGAGTTGGTTATTGAGTGGGATCAGCTCCCCCCCTTGGGATCGAAGCCGCCACAACCTCACACCCAACATCCCAGGCGGGATCAGAAGGGGACTCCACACCGGACACCGCCCGGGCACAGCCCCCCTACCCGTCGGATCGCACAGAGGGCCCCCTCGGAGCAGCCCACACACAATCACGCATCGGCAGATTGAGTGCCTGAGTCAGGCAGACAGCACAGACAAGAGGAGAGAGAGGAGAGAGAGAGAGAGAGAGAGGAGAGAGGAGAGGGTGAGGGTGTGAACACACGTGAGGAGTGGGGGAGGGTGTCTGTGGTGGGTTGTAGTCATACTACGTGGTTACAACCACGCGCCCCTCAGGAGCTTAAGGTAGAGCTGAGCGTCCAAGACGCCTCGGTGCCACCCACCGGCGTGAGACCATCCGGATCAGCCCAGTACGCCCTCCGGGCGAACGGTCCCCGCGATGGCCCACGGTCCTCCGTCGCCTGGTTGAACCCCCTGCCTCCCGGTTGACCCCCCGGTCCCCGTACACGACCATGAAATAAACTCAAAGTCCACCACAGCCACCAGCCTCCACCTCCACCCGCGAGCCGCCACCGCTGCCGCCCGCGACGCCGCCCGCCGCGTCAGATAGCCGCGACGCGCGCATCGAGTCGCGTCGGAGAGCCGCGCCGCACCAGCAGCAGCATCTGCACCACCAGCAGCAGCAGCAGCACCACCACCACCACCCGAGAGAGAAGCGCACCTGCCCGACGCCGCCCGCCGCGTCAGACGCTCGCGACGCGCGCGTCGAGCCCAGTCGCACAGCCGCGCCGCGCCAGCAGCAGCATCGGCACCAGCAGCAGCAGCACCACCACCACCAACAGCAACAGAGACAGGCAGTGCAGGCGCAGAGGCGCTCGCAGAGCGGCGCTCAGCGCCGCGCACGCCACGCTGCGGACCGTCGGACGAGCGCACCGTACGTCGGCGGCGAGCCGCGTCGCCAGCCGTCTCGCGAGAGAGCGGCGCCGCCGCGTGCGCGCAGCAGCCGCCGCGGCAGAGGCGAGCCGCGGCGACGTCCGCACTAACGGATAACGGCCATTGGCGGGTTTTTCTCTCTCTCTCTCTCTCTCTCTGTCTGTTTTCTTTCTTTCTTTGGGCACGGGACTGGCGCGCACTGGCACTAACACAGGTACACCACAGAAAAAGAACATAGGAAGAAACGGAGTCACAAGGAAAAGAAATCGCGCGCCGACAAACACAAAATCTCGCGGGCGGGGCCTCCGTCACGCGATCAGCGCCGGGTTGAATGCCTGCCGCTCCTCGGCGTCGAGGGACGCGAGGCTGGCCATCGCCGCGGCGTCGAGCTCGAAGTCGTCTGCCGCCGCCGCCAGGTTCTCGCGCAGCCGCGCCGCCGACGACCCGTGCGGCAGCGGCACCACGCCGCTCTGCACGCTCCACCGCAGCGCAACCTGCGCCGGGCTCCTGCCGACCCGATCCGCGACCGCACACAGCGTCGGATCGCGGAGCAGCGACGCAGCGCCGTGCGCCAGCGGGCAGTGCGCGAGGACCTTGATCCCCGCGGCGTCGCAGTCCTCCCGCAGCTCCGGCTGCTGGCAGCGCGGGTGCAGCTCGGTCTGAAGGACCGCCGGTGGCGTGCGGCACGTGGCCAGCATCTCGCGCAGGTGGCGCCGGCTCCAGTTGGAGACTCCGATGTCGCGCACGAGCCCGTCGCGCTGCAGGTCCTCGAGCGCGCGCCAGGTCGAGGCGCGCAGCGCGCGGTTCCGCTTTGGGTCCTGCACGGCGTCGGGAGAGCCCGGGAAGTGGATGAGCAGGAGGCCAAGCCGCTCCTCGCGCAGCCGCTCCAGGCTGCGGCGCGCAGAGGCGATCGCGGCGTCGTAGCCCATGTCGGAAAACCACACCTTCGTGCACACCGTCACCTCGGAGGAGCGGCGAAGCACGCCTCGGTCGACGGCGGCGGCGAGCGCAGCGCCGACGGCTGGCTCCGAGTCGTAGTGAGCCGCGGTATCGACCAGCCGATAGCCCGCCTCGAGACCAGCCAGCACCAACCGCTCGGCAGTGTCGGCGTCGTCACAGCAGGTCCCCAGGCCGATGTAAGGCAGTGCCGATGGGGTCGAGGCGGCAGTCGCGGACTTCAGCCCAGGCAGAGTGCCGGAGGAAGCGACGAGCGGCGCCAGCAGTCCGGACGTTTGCCGTCGGGTGAGCACCATTCACTCGCCAGTGGGGCCAGCGTTTGCGTCGCTAGCGGGTTTGTCACGGCCTCCGAACTGTGGATTTCGCACCCTGCGGTGTGCTGGCTGGACTCCGAGTCAGACTCCGAGATTGGGATTTTGGTTCCAGGGGGGCGTGGAGGCCTCCGCAAGCCTCCAGGTGACTGGGGAGGGTGGGTGGGGATGTTGGGGAGGGAGGGAGAGGGGTTTGGTCTGTGGTAATTTTTCTTTTCTTTTTTGTCCTCTCAAACTTGCACGCCTTGCGCCTACGACCCACGACCTCGCTCAGTTTGCGTTTGAGCACAGTGATCTGGTAAGCCTCGAGCATGGGAGATATCACCGACTGTGACTACGACTATGACACCGACTGTGAAAAGTTCGCCTTTGCTCCCAACAAATTCTTCACGCCGCCGGTGCTGCAGCAGTCAACTTTCATCGACATCTTCTCAGACGTCGACCTGCAGATGCTCCTCGTTGCCCATATGTACAATACCAACACAGAGGATTGCTTTCTACGCACGATGGCTAGGTTGATGGGCGCAGCCAAGTTGTTCCGTGTGCAGGCCGAACTGCCGCATCCCAACGACATGCGTGCACACATACATCACGTACAGGTGTCGTCGGAAGGAGATACCGTGCAGGTGGTTGGTGTTGATGACGCGTTTACCAAAGAGCTGGCGGTGGCCGTCAAAGAGCTGTGGCGCTAGTCGGGGGACGGGTATTTAGGCTTTTTTTTGGTCCTCTCAAACTTACTTGCACGTTTGACAGACCCGACGGGGAGGGAGGGAGGGAGGTGCGGGGGGAGGGAGGGAGGGGGGTGTGGGGGGGAGGGAGGGAGGAGGGTGCGGGGGGAGGGAGGGAGGGAGGGAGGGGTGCGGGGAGGGAGGGAGGGAGGGAGGGGGGTATGGGGGGAGGGAGGGAGGGAGGGCCACCATTTCCCCATTTCCCCCATCAAACTTAAGTTTGAATATCAGTTTTCACCACTAACATTATACATTTACCAATAATTTTTTTCTTTGACCCCAATAAAATGGTGCTCCCACTAAACTTGGAAGACGTAGACAAATGGACCAATCCTTGCTCCGACATCGGAGACGTCCGTGAATTCGTGAGCCTCCCTGGCGCCTGCGCCATTCTCGATCAAGAAGACATCAAAGCGCTGATCGAGAGGAACTGCCAGGAGAAGCTCAAAATCGAAACCGCTAAATTAATTGCGAAGGATTCTTCGCTGACGTTTGGCAAAGCCAAAAAACAATTAATTCAAAATTTAATACAGACCATTTCTTAGTATTTATATATAAAAAATGAAAAAAGTAACTAGGTAACCAAGGTAACCTCCGAAAACTCGGCCACCAAAAATTTTTTTTCAGAGGCTGAGAAAAAAAATTTTGAGGGCGGAAGGAATTTTTTTTTGGTTACCAGGTTACCTGGTTACCTTTTTAAGAATTTTTTTCTCTGTGTGAAATAAATGGCAGAGGTGCTCAGCCCACCCCACCTGTATCAAACAACTCGAATCAAGCCCGGAAGCCTGCTGGCGTGTATCGAGAGCCCAATAGCCGAGGAGACTGTCATATCGTCATTGACCTGCAAAAAAACGAGGCTATGATTTCGCAGAAAATCCCTGCCCTTGTTGCGCGAATTTTGGTGAAATGCTATCAAAGGAACACCAGACGGTTTATGCGACGTGGAAGCCGACTCTGTCAGGTCTCGGAAAGGCTCTCCGGGAATCGAGCAAGGAGTGGGTATTGTACAAGCAGCGGTTTAGGGTGAAGAGTTTTGCACTGTGTGATTTGGCATCGGCACAGTTGTTAGAGGTGGCAGAGACGTGGAATTGTAGCGAGTTTGAGTTAATAGGTTCTCCTTTACATTACCCAACCATGTGAGTGGCTATACTTTTTCTTACCCTCCCTCCCTCCCTCCCTCCCCCGCATCCCCTCCCTCCCTCCCTCCCTCCCCCGCACCCCCTCCCTCCCACCCACCCTCCCTACGCGAAGAGCGCGCGTAGCTGCCATGGGGGCCCGCGCCGCTCACTGAAAAAAAAAGCCCGAACAGACCTGAGCAGAGTTGAGCAGAGCAGAGCAGTCTGGAGCCGCGAGCGATGACTTCGTTCCCGATCCCCCTGCTGGGCGCCAAGTGTGCCGAATGCGAGGCAACGACGAGCTATGGGCGCATCTGGAAGGCCATCCAAGCCGCTGACAGTGCGACGTCGCTTCGCTTCGACTACGCAAAAGTACCAGGCCGTGTTATCGATGTCCAAGTGGACGGCAACGTGTCTGTCCACTGCGTGCCGCGCGCGCCAGTCGCCGGCGAGCTGGTGCTGTGTGGGAAGTGTCAGCAGGCGCGTCTCAAGCAGCACAAGAAGCGCCAGAGGGACGACATGGCCGCGGCGCAAGTGCCTGTCGCAGAGGAGCCCCCTCGAGTCGCGGTGGGCGCAGCTCCTGTGGGTGCCGACACCAGCGCGGCTGCTCAGGTCGCTCAGGATGTGCCAGCGCAGGTGTTGAGCGGCGCTGACGCGGGCAACCTCTCGCACAGCGGAACCGCGCGCTGCGCGGGTGGCTCTTTGCCGTTGGACCACCCCACGCAAGCGGACGCGCTGACTTGCATAATTGAGCTGACGAAGCAGCTGAAGATTAGTCAGGCCGAGGCGAGAGAGGCGAGAGAGGCACTGGCGGAGGTGAGGTGGGCGGAGGCAGCAGCCAAAGCATCAAAGCAATGAGGCGGTGGTGGTCGGAGTGGGCGCGGGTGGTGGAGCATTTCGCTGCCACCGGCAAAAAGAAAGGCCCGAGAGCGATATGCCATGTCCGCCTTGCGTTTGTTTCATAACATCGAAGGCTAAGCTCAAAAAGAAAGGAAAATAAGCCAAAAAAGGATTTGCGCTGTGAAAAAATCACACTACGGCGAAGTGTCGGCGGATTCGCCTGGGTGGGGTATCGCAATGCAAAATACTGTCCCGTTTTGCTGTTCACACAGCTAGGGACGGCCTCTGCGGCAAAGTCAGATGACCCCACCTACCTCCACCTACCACCTCCCACAGGCAAACCTTCGGCTCCCGCTCAGAGGCTCGCCGCGCCCGTGCTGCGCGCCGAGGCGGCGCCGAGGCCGGCGCCTTGCACCCGGCCCGCGGCCGGCACCGCCTCGCCCCACAACTGACCGCCCTGCGGCCCCTGCGCAGGCGTGCCACAGGCGTCGCTCAAAAAGCGACGCCGGGTGTGGGCTGCTCCCTTGACCCGTCACCCGCCGCCCTCGCCCGGCCGCCTCACCGCTCACGGAGCGCTCGGCTGCTCGCCGCCGCCGCCGCGCGTCCCGCGCCGCCACGCTTGCCCTCCTTTGCCTGACGCGCGCGCTCTGCACCGGCAGAGCGCGCGTCTGTCACAGACGGAGCAGCGACCGCGCCAGCGGTCGCTGCTCCGCCCCTCCGTCGCGCGCGCCGCGCGCGCGCTGCCGCCGCCGCCACCGCCGCCGCCCCCTCCTCGCCGTCTTCCCCACCCTACCCTCTGTTGCGCTCGCCGCGCGCTGCGGTGCGCGCCCCCGGCGCGTGGTGGGGGTTGTGGGGTGCTGGCTCTGTGTGTCTGCCCCTTCCTGGGGTCGCCTTTTTGGCCGTCGTCCTGCGGTCGCCTGTGCGGGGCCCGTGGGGGCCTCCGCTGTGCCGCGCGGCGGTTCCTCCGCCGCG